AGAAAAGCCATAAATGACCTCTTCTTTTAGTGCAACCAGAAACAACTATTTAGAGCATTTTTGGCATTGAGTCCAAAGTCTAGCATACTTTAGCTCAGCTAACATTAAGAATAGATAGTACAGTTGTCAATATGTACTAAATTTGGGGGCTATTTAAAGACCGCCACGTGAAACGTGATGTAAGTATATTAAGCTTTAGCCCCCAGATGTAAATGTCTGTTGGTAGAGAAAAGTTTAAGGAGTATCTATTTTTTCTTTGGTTTATAACATTCCTGCAAAAAGGAGAATGTTCTTATTACAGCAGATGACATTTTGAGTTGTATTTGTCTTGATTCAGTAGCTTCGTTTGTATTTATTATGACTTGGTGATTTCAGAAATGGGATGAGCTTGTATATGACCCTTCTCTCCAAGACAATACTTGGCAGTGCTGAGAAGTCAGGTTGTGGTTGTATTAATTACCTTCATTATTTATAAAGTCAATGCCCTACTTGAGCAGGATTCTGGAAGCCCCCTGCTGAGCTTGGCATTAACTTTTTGGGTGGTGGATCCAGGCATGTAGGAGGAGTTTGGGGGCAGCTTGGGAGATGAGATGGTATTGATTAAAAATAAACAATATAATTTCTAAAAATATTTCTGAATGAGATCTTTTTATCTTCAAACTTTGTATAGTATATGTGTGTGTGACATATGTAAGAATATTAGAAAATGCATATTTCTCCTCTTACATCAGATAGCTTGTCTAATATTGTCTATTCTCTTATGAATCTGAAGTCAAGAATGAAATTGGTGTGTCTCAGATGTGTTTTCTTTCTGTCCTTTTAAGTCTGATACTTAAACTATAGTATGATTATGATATGATATTTGAATGTTCATTGCAAATATGATTATGTCAATTCCTGGTTGAAGCAGTGACTTTCCAAATGGCTTTATCCTGAGACTAATATTCTTAGCCAGGCATATAAGGTCGACCTGCATTATACACCCAGTCTCATTTCATGTCACACAATTTGGCCATGTGATTTCTATGCCAGTGGACTTCTTTCTGTTCTTGCAGCAAGCCATGGACACTTAAACCACAGGGCCTTTGCATATTCTATTCCTTCTGCCCAGATGTGATTGCCAGGTCATTTAACCAGCAGTAAAACATGGTTACTGACCAATCAGAAGCAAAATGGGCTAGAGCAGGATTCTGGAAGCTCCCTGCTAAGGTAGGCATTAACTTTTTGGGTGGTGGACCCAGGCATGTAGGAGGGGTTTGGGGGCAGCCTGGAAGATGAGATGGTAGTTGATGGGACAGAGTCCAGACAGTGGCTATTCACCACTTCTTTACTGAGTCAAGACCATACCAACTCTGTCTGTCTCTGAAAAATGTCTTCCTTCCTTCACCCTGCAACACTCAGACACATAATGCACAGACATTGCACATATGTGGATGGCAGTCTGATTATGCATCTCTTCTTGTCTTCCAGCATACCCCACTTCCTCAGAGGAGCTTTCCCTGGCCTTCCTGATGAGGGCCATTCTCATTGAGGCTTTCACAGGAATTTCTACCCCTTCATTATACCTTTCACAGTGCCCAGTTTACAAATACATTGCAATTATTTGAATCATTATGTCAGACCCAATAGTTCATATACTCCCTGAGTGCTTGGCTCATCAATTATCTGACAGCTCCACCCCCTCTCCATCTTCATCCAGAATTCTAATCTCAGCGCCTAATAGATACTCAATAAACATTCACTGAATGAATAAAATTTCAGAAAGACTTTAAAACTTCTTTGAACACCTTTATACTCTTTAAATGTAACTGATGAAAGACCTATATATACCCTGAAAACTACAAGGCACTCATGAGAGAAGATACCAAAAAAAAAAAAAAAGATACAATAAAGAAGATACTGAAAAAAAAAATGTAGCTGATATGCATATTACTTTGGGGATGGATTTCTGGGAAGACAACATTTTTTTTTAAGTTTACCATCTTTTTAAGACCTTTTCACACATTTTCCTGAAATAATTTTCAAATAGTGGCTAGCTCCCATGCCATGATTTATCTAATTCATTCCAGTAGGAATTTTTCTCACTGACTTGATGTCCAGTGCAAAGATATAATCTCCCAAGTTAATTCATTCATTCTTCTTAAAACTCAGCAGGAAACATGACTGAAAGCCTACCACTCTGTACAGGGCATTTGGGACATTGAGGCAGCCAGTGATGGAAAAGTTGTTCTACTGTCAGAGATATATCACTCTAATAATAGTCTCCTTATATAATTTATAAGCAAAAAAATCTTTATAAGTGTTTATAACATTTTGTTTTCCCAGTGCAGTATTGGAACAAAGACCATGTGGTTTGTTCTGTGACTTAGAGCAAAGCCTTGCATACTCATTAGGGTGCTTTTTAATGACAGTTATGATGATGTTACTACAGGATCCTTTGCTAAAGTGTGTCTTTTTTCCCTGAAAATGCTATCTATGGGTTCTTTTAAAGTCTGTTATTTTGTTATTACCAAATCCTTTCCAAGTATGATTTAGTATATAAACCAGATAGCCTTAACTCCCGAAAGGGGGAAATAGTGGTTCAATCTGTTTTATAGTCTTCAAGCCTTTCCTGTGCTCAAGACTTACCCATCTTCCCAGGATTTAATATGCCTTGCTGTTGCTTCTTAACTTTTTTTGAATTTTTGACACATCATGTGTTATATTTGCATTTCATGTTCCCCATACCTTGTATGACTAATTGCCATGGTATTTTATTTGAAATTTTTTTAATATTATTCTTTTCTACTTGGGGGGATGTGTCTGAGAGAGAGAGAAAGTGAGCGAGAAAGGGAGTGCCCCTTTTGATTTCTGGACTAAAGGTTCCTCACATGCATGACATAGCTGTCTGGTATAAGTTAAATATAATCTAGAGTGATTTCAGTTATCATTCAAGTTGGTAACTGAAAATTACGCATACAAAAAGTATCCATAATTTGGAAGAAATAAAGGATGACTTATTGGGGGTAAGTGTCATATTGGGAAGCAATAAAGGAAAGCAGAGTTGTATCTGAAAGCCTTCTGTCCAATCAGGGGAAGACAACCACTGGAAAGGCTTGAGAAGTATCATGATTGAGGGAGAATGTTTGCCCTTCCTTGTATACTTACGACATCAGTGATCTTGTCCATCGTCTCTGGGGACCTAACGGTATTGAAAATAGCTTTAAAAAGTCTTTCATATGCCTACTGCAACAGACACTATGTATGCCCCACTCATATCTTCTTGCTTTTATCACTTCGGTGCACACACCACTTCCAGTTCCCACCTTTATGTGAAGGCATTTTTGGCCTCTGCTTCCATTTTGCTCCCCCAGTGAGAGGCTCGAATGCTGGGTAATTCATACTCACTGATAATAGCCTCTAAACAATGAGTAATAGGAGTTGGTGTATAAACACCCCAGCTCCCTTGCCCCTTGGCAAGAATAACTCTGGGCAACTCCCGGATAATTTTTAGATAACTCCAATGCATACATTCTACACAGGCTCAGCTTTCAGAGTTTCCCCTCTGAAGAGTTTCGGAGAGTCACTCACAGGGGTTGGTAACTTTCTGTCTTGCCCTTTGTTGGCTGCCTTGCTTTCCCTGCCTCACTTCCCAGTGCCCTCCTTTTGCGTTCACTTCCCCATTAAGCTGCTTACACTTGAATTCACTTGGCAGTCTTTGCCTGAAAGGGAACCTAAATGAAAACACTTGAAATTTGTAGTTTTCAGGGCAGTGAGAGATGGTCACACATTCTATGATGCTGTAAGTTGCTAACCTGAGTTCTTGGAATGTTAGTTCTCCATTGTATTTCCACCTGTTCCAGATTCCCATGGGTGAGGTCAGAGTTCTAACCAAACCCTGACATTCCTGCTGCAATTCCATCTCTTACTTCCCACCCAAGAACACGTATTATATTACAAGTACACAAAATCAACATTATTAGTGGAATGACAGATGTCATATGTTACGTACATAAGTTGAAAGTTTCATATTTTCACTCTTGAAATTATTATTGGGGACACACTTAATTCTGACTTAATTCTGAATATGTGATATCACACATTAGGATCCCATGATTAAGAACCACTGTCTTTAGCTGAGATTGCTCTCTTTTGTTCAACAACTAATACATACCAATAGGTTGTATCTGTTGAATCAGTTTTACACCCCTTCTGCTAAAGGAGCTAACTCTAAAGTTCATTGTGCAGTGTGGAACTAGCTGAGTTTCAGCAATCTAGAAAAGATTATCTGATTTTAGGCATGCTTATCTAGCCTACAGGATCTATAACCATGCAGTTTAACTAGTTTCAGATGGCCACTGAAAATAACACCAGGGTATTCACATAGTTATTTCCTCTCTGCAAGCACATTCAAGTTTATGAAAATTCAAGAAAGCAAAAAAGAAAATGGTTTAATTTGTAAGAATCTCAGACTCAACAATTTCCACCATTAGTATTTTTGGTCTGTTTTATGCAGTGTATGTAATTGGGTGCTTTCTATGGTTATCTCTGAAAAACAAAATAGGCTTAAGATGAGCGTCGATAATGCTATTGATAATTTGTATGCCTTATTAGGATTTCAGAGACTACAAACACAGTGGTTCAAGATATCAGCTTGATTCTTAATTTCACCAAATATTATTAGAGAAAATGAGAAAAGTTAGAATTTCAGGGTAATATTTGTTCTGATTATTATCTAGTGAAAGTTTTAATATTCAGTATATTAATATTTAATTTAATGTTTTAGTATTGTTGAATATTTCTCATTCTGTGAAGCCACTTCCATCTGCATATCAGTTACATAAAGTGTTATCTAAGTATCTACATTTTGTATGTCTTCTCTTTTGTATCAAAGAAGATTAATTTCATTTGAGGATTTTGAGTACCTGGGAATGACACAGTATTATGAAAATAAGAAAATCTATTATTTTAAAGCAATTTGTATTTACCAAATCTAACTTCTCTGTATATATATTTTACAGATTAAACGATTTAACTGAAGACAAAGCATTCTATTCCTCAGAGACTGGACAAGAGTTACTCTTGCTTTTGGCAATTAAAGATGATGTTGTCATGGAAACAGTTGATCCTGCTTTCGTTCATTGGCTGCCTAGGAGGTAACAAAAGCTGTGTTTTCTAAATTGAACTTAGAACTATATTTGAGTCATATGTTAAATAGTTTTGAAATGTTGAAATAATACTCCACCAGTAGCAAAGAAAAATAAATCTTTTTTCCCTATAAAAAGAATTCTAATTCTCTCTTCTGAAAACTGGATACTCTTTTCACTCCTGAATTTTTACATGTCATTTGATTCCCATAGCAAAAAGAATAACACCTAGGATTACATGTCTATTACAGTATTATGAACATATCTTCTCATCAGAATTTGAAGATGTTAATTCAT